AGTTATACAGTAATATATTGCATTTATTTCAAGCAATACTCAAGCACTCAGACTGGATTAAATTTTCAACACTGTGTGGTGAGAATAATATCAAAGGAAATGATAAGTGAATAAAAGTTAAATTCTAGAAATGCCTAGTATGAATGACTACTATTATTTCAAAATTTAGTTGCCTGACTGCTAAAACTCCTTCTCATAAAAAAAAAACTTGATCAAACTTGTGTTTCTCATAAATCCTTTCATAAAAAGGATTACATTCATAGTTTACTCTTTATATGAATCTGGAAGGATTTATGAGAAAAACAAGTTAGTTTATTAATTTAAAAAATAAGCCTATTACATGTTAACATAAATAACATTTTAAATAAAAATTATATCTTCCAAAACAAAAACAAATATTGTAAGAGTAGCATTTTTTTTTACATCCTCCCCCACCCCCAGCCAAAGCTCATAAATGCTTCTGCATTCAATCAAATTCTGAAAAACTTCCCTATATTAGAGAATGATAGTGGAAGAGGCAAATACTGTTTGTTGGTTTGTTTTTGTTTTCCATTTTTGGGGGGGTGGTGGTGGGAGGGGACAATACTTGGGATTGAACCCAAAGGCACTTTTACCACTGAGCTAGATCCCAGTACTTTTTATTTTTATTTTGAGACAGGGTTTCGCTAAGTTGCCAAGACTGCTATCAAACTTGCAATCCTCCTGCTTCAGACTCTCCAGTCTCTGGAATTACAGGTATGTGTCACCACCAAGGCTAAATACTGTTTTATTAATAATATGAAAAATACTTTTGTATTTTCAAGTCCATTTAAAGGATCTCCAGACAATACTTCAAGCTCAGACTCTTGATACCAAACTGCCTACGGTTAAAGGTATTTACTAGCTATGTTTAAAACCCTCTTACCCCTTTTTACTAGCTATACTCAAACCCTCTCTGACTCATTTCTCACCTTTCAAAACTAGAGATAATAAGGGTGCCTACATCACATAGTTATTACACACTTGGAATAGTTTTTAATCACAAGGTGTTTGCTGTATTATATAATTAATCTTCATGAAAGTATGTGCTATGAAATAGCTTCTGTTATCCCGTCTAACAGATAATAAAGAGGCTGAGTGACCTACACAAGGAAACACAGCTTAAATGATAAACTACACAAGGAAACATAGCTTAAGTGATAAAACTCAGATTTGAATTTAATACCTATTGACTGGGGCTGTAGCTCAGTGGTAAACAACTTACCTACCAAGTACCAGGCTCTAGATCACTCCCAGCACTGCCAAAAAAATAAATAATGAACGCCAACTTTAAAACCTATGGTTGAAAAATGCAATATGTAATATGACCCCAATCTCATTGTTCATATTACTCTCCTCAGTTTTCTGTTTTAGACACATTCTCAGTTTCTCTATGTCAAAAACACCTTCACCCCAAGGCATCTGTGAAGGCCTTGAGTGGAATGCTATACTGCTCCTATTTTCCCCGCAGTACTGGAGACTGAAATCAAGGGTGCTTGTACCATGGAGCTATTCTTTTTAAATTTTTTATATATTAAGTCTCTGCAGCCCTTTTCCAACCACTGTATCTAAATAGCAGCCTTTCATCATTTCTCAGTATTTTCTATCACAACACAAGGTTTATTTCTTTCATAAAGTTCCAAATCTTGTTTATTAGTCCTTATTACTTATTAGTCTGTCTTCCCCCATCAGACTATATATTCAAGGAGAAGAGAGTCCATGTCTGTATTGGAAATGCATGCAAAGCTAACAAGCATACTATGGTATCTGGATATATGACAGGTATTTAATTACTTACTTTTGTTGAATTAATGAACCACACTGCTTAAATATTTGGACAAATTACTTAAACTCTCTGGGCTTCAATTTCCTATAGTTAGTTACTTTCTGATTCTAAAATCCTAAAAGTATATTTTACTGACTTTATTTGAAAAAAGGGTAGTAGCGATTACAAAGAAATTTTGTAAACATAAAGTCCTAATCAGGTTTAACATCTTCTAGTATCTAAAAGCAACTATAGAACAGAAGTAAAAAATGCTGTAAACTAACTAGACAATAAAGAAATCTCGAGATCATTTCTTCCACTGTACATTACATTCATCCAGTCACCTGGTATGTGAAACTATAAATGTTTAAAAGCAAGAACTCAAGCTAGTATTCCAGCATGCAGCCCAATTCAAACCAACACTGCCTTATTTCCAGAGTACAGAACAATAGAGAACATTACAGAAAATTATTATCTTTTTGATGACCATGATAATACAACTTTTATTAGCAGACCCTAAATACAACATAATGAATAAAATAAACTGCTAGAATATGACCTGACGAGGGTCAAGAATTATTTGCCAAAAAGCAAACTCACAGAATTTGTCCAAGTACAATAAGCTCTCTATTATCTACATGGTTTAGGAGTTCTGTCTTACCTAACTCAATATATATAATTTTTTAAGAACTGTCAGTTTATAGTCAGAATATAAGCTGGCAACACAGCCTAATAGTTAAGAGTATGGATTCTAGCTCCATGGCCTACACATTGTATTTCTCTGGGAAAGTTACTTAACTACTCTGTGGCCTCAAATTCTTCATTTACAAAATGGGGATAACACAAGTACTTACAGCAAAGATTTTAAAAGACTAGGTAATTTAACATATAAGGTCTTAAAACAATGTCTGGCACAACATGTCTCCATAGATGTTAGCTACTATTATAACAGAAACAATATCAATACAATTATGTCATTTCTGGACAATTTAGAAACATTTTTACTGCAGAGGTAAAGTACACAGATTATTCATCCTTTCTTTCAACTAATATTTACTGAACATCAATTATATGCTAGGTTTGAGTAAGATGTTAAGGATACAACAATGAGCAAAGAATGATTAAATGCTAAAGGGTTTTTAGAGAACCAAAATTATTGAATAATATACAATGGAGTTCTACTCAGCTACAAAAAGAATGAAATTATGGCATTTGCAGATAAATGGATGAAAATGGAAAATATCATGCTAAGTGAAATAAACCAGACTTAGAAATTCAAAGGTTGAATGTTTTCTCTCACATGAGGAAACTAGAAAAAACATAAAAAGGGAAGGAAGGATAAGATAATATAAATAACCAATCAAACAGAAATTAATAGACATGTAGAGGATAAAGAATATGGGAAAGGGGAGGAAGAACAGCAGGGAAAGGGAAAAGGAAAGTGGGAGGGATAATGAACTAAAATTGATTTGCATGATTATATGAGTTTATGATAATGAACTCAATTATTATGTATAATTATTAAGCTTTAATAAAAAATTATTATTGGGGGGGCTAGGGTTGTGGCTCAGTGGTAGAGTGCTTGTCCAGCATGTGTGAAGCACTGGATTCAATCCTTCGCATCATATATAAATAAATAAAAATAAAAGCTCATCAACAATTAAAAATTTTTAAAAAAAATTATTATTAGATAAATCAAGCTATATTATTATCAGGACAACATATAGAATAGCCAATAACAATTTCATTACTGCAAACTTTCAAACCTGGTCAACACTTATGAAGATATGTCTAAGTATATGTCTGAAATTTAAAATTAAGACATGCTATTATTGTAAAAACCAAATTCCCTAAGGAAAAACTTAAAGCTGTCCTTGTTTTGTCTGGTGCAGAAGTTAACAGCCAGCTATGGTTATTTAAAATAATTAAAATGAAATAAAATTTACATATTTTCCTCCAATCTGGGGAGAGAAGAGACTGGACACATTCTGTACCCTGGATTGCTGACGAGAAGACCCATCTGGTTTCACTTTATGAAATCTGCCCTGTATCCATATACCATTATACTAGATTATATCTAGTATAATCCCAAATTCCTGAGAAACTAAACCTGGAGAACACTTCCACTCACCTATTGTAGGTTCTCCATATGTACGCAAAATTCTGAAATGGGATCAGTTACACTTAGAAAAACATCCCAGCCAATTTCATTATTCCTAATGAGGTAGGGAGATGGTGAAGAAATACCACTGCACAGGGAGGGCTCAATGAAGCTGGATTTGCATTCTCCTCACCTGCCAGAGGTTCTATATTCTAAGTCCTTTCTCAAGTAAGTCTTTGCAACCTTCACATCCAAGACTGCATTATGGATCTGTAAGATTGATGATGGCAAATTCATACCTGCTTCCGGTGAAAGTTTTAGCTGGCATAGGTGAGCACAGTGTTAGTCTAACCTGACCTACAGCCATTACTAAGACTTCATAAGACATTTCAGTGAGATCAGCTTTTGATCATCTCACACCTAGCACACTGAGCCTGAGAGTAACTCTATATACACTGCCTTTGGGAGTCCTCTTGCTCCCCAACTCCACTTAGAATCTTGTTTGTGTGAGGCTTCCAGCAACCTTGCCCTGTCAGCCACTTCTGAATCCCTACCAAGTGTCTTTCTGGGTGGACTCAACTACATAATTTTGCTTTTTCACACTCCTTTCCTTCATTTGTCTTGGCATCAGTTTTCTCTGAAAACAGTAAATTTGTTGGGTTTTGTGCAGGATTTTGGGTTAGAGCCACAATGAATTTGGGGAATGAGTATTTTCTCTTGGTTTTGTATATTTTTTACATTAATAACAAATATCAGAAAAAGCAGCAGCTAATTTTTTTTAAATGTAGCATTAGCTAAATTTCGAACAGCCAGAAGCCACACGTGGCTATAGTCTCTAATTTCAAACAGTAGAGATACTGAACACAGCCATTATCACAAAAGTTCTACTGGATAGCACTGATTTAGATGTAGCTAGACAATGTGATTTTGTTTACTAAATTCAATAACTCAAATTCAGCTACTACTAAAAGAGTAATACTTTAAAAAATGGAATTCAAAGACAATAATTAAGATATGATCATTTCAGGTAAAGATTGTATAATAAACATAAGTTACTCTAGTATGTCTAACTATAAGGGAAATGTATTCTTTAAAAAGTTAAAGTCATAACTTTACCTGTGTTAAAATCAGTTTTCTAAAGGAGGAGGTGGCACGGGAATGCAGCGGAGTTCAAGTGTGGAATTCATTTGTTGAGAGTTAAATATTTCCCAAACCTATAAAAAATAAAAATGAAAAAATGTGAAATATTAAGATAATATTCTCAAGAATATAGCACAAAGAAAGAACAGTTTTAATGAGACATTTATAATACAGGTCATCTAATTTTTTAAAATATGGATTAAAAAATTTTTATAATAATGAGTATACCTATGTATCTTTATCAAACCTAATAAAAATGATTTTGGAGAAAGTGTGAATTTTAGTTTGAAATTTTGTCATTAATTATCTTTAAGAACTTGGGTAGGTAGAGGTCCTAGGCTGGATTTATAGTACCCACACACCCCACTATTTTTTTTTTTCTTGAAAGTATGCTGTATAGGGGCTGGACTATGGCTCAGCCGTAGAATGCTCGCCTAGCATGTGCAAGGCCCTGGGTTCGATCCTCAGCACCACATAAAATAATAAAATACATAAAATAAAGTTTTAAAAAAGTATGCTGTATAAAACCAAACTTAAATAAGTATCAAGGGGTACAAAATAATTTTGAATCAGTTTCACAACTAAAAAATTTATAATTTTTTTACACAGAAAGTGCATTATTTGAATTTTTAGCATAAAATCATAAAGTGTTTTGGTCAGAGAGAACCACTTTAAAATGGCTAACAATAGAGACTTCTTAGAAAGTAAGAAGTCTCTTTTCATATATTTGCTGAACACATTACGCTCCATTTCTTCTTTAAAAGCGCATCCCAACTTTAAAATTTAAAACATTATATGTACGTGTCATAGATCCTGGCCAAATGTATTTTTTTAACACAAAGAAAATACAACAAAATTGTCTTAGAGATAAATTACATTGTCCTTATAAAGTCTTCAGTATTCTTTAGACTGAAGAGATATCTGGAACCCCTAACTCTAACCATAGCAATGACTTTTTAATCTCGTATATACTGGGCCTTCACATGAAATTTTTATTTTATGAGTAGATTCTGCATGGCAGGGAAGGGAACTTACACCGTCTCTGGAAAGACAAAAAAAGAGACTGGTAATATTTTTTTGGAAGGCACATCTGATTTTAAGACAACAGGGTGGGAATAAGACTCTGATCATCTTTTGTACCTTGAAAATTTTGAACCACAAGGACAACTGCCAGATTTTGAAGCAGTGTGTGTATAGAAATACTGAAGAGCTAAGTGGAGAACCTCTATAGAGAAAGATCTCCCATAATATTTTAAGACTAAGAATATGGATATTCATTAGGTTCTCAATTAAGAAAGCAAAAGGGGGAAAAAAGGGCAAATGAGAGAGAGAATGAGTTTTTTTAAACTTTTAACATAACACTAAAGCACCTTAATCTCTGGGTGATTGGAGGTAATTAGCCCCTCACCAGCTTGTGTAACAGTGAAGTGTAAACAGCTACTACAATTCTTTCAGATACAAAATCTGGCACACAATTTAAAAAAAACAATAAGAATGCAAAGGAACAATAATATATGACCAATAATTAAGAAAAAAAACTAAAGAGAATCAGACCCAATAATAAAGTTGAAATATATGGCAATTATTTAAAATAATTCTAACATATTGGGGAAAACAGATAAAATTGATGAAAGATGGAGCAGTTCATCCAATGAATTAGGATCTAATTTTTTTTTTTTTAATGAGGGATCTCACTAGATAGTCCAGGCTGCCCTTGAACTTGCAATCTTTCTGCCTCTCAATTACATGTGCATGCCACCATCCCTAGCTCCCAACAGACATTCTAGAACTGAAAAATTCAATCTATATAATTAAGAACTCAATATTTTTGGTTTTATAGCAAATGGACACAATAGAATATAGGATTAGTTAACCAGAACACAAGTTAATACACAGTGCCCAAACCAAAGTATAAAGAGAAATGACTAGAAGAGAAGGGAATGAAAAGGTAGGGAAAAGGACAAAAGGTTTAAGAGAAAGGTGATACAGGCTCAAAATGTATGTGTACACACACACACACACACACAAATAGAAGCCTCAAACGATAGCAGAAAGAGATAAAAGCAATATTCAAAAAAAGAATAGCTAAGAATTTTCCAAAACTGATAAAGGAAATCAGTCTAGAGACTGATCATGCTCTACTAACTCCAAGCAAGACATATTAAAAGAAAACTATACCTAGGATATCAAACTATGAAAGGAAGAGAGGAAGAGGAAGAAAAAAGTCATAATAACCGCCAATCTAAAATATTATACCTAACAAAAATATCCTTCAAAATTAAGGTAAAATAAAAATGCTTACAAACAAACAAAAAAGGGGAAATTTCTCACCAGTAAGCTTATACTACAAGAAAATTAAGTGGAATTATTCAGACAGAAGAAAACCATCCTAGATCCAGAACATGGAAACACAGAAAGGCATAACAATGCAGAGTAACTGAATTGCCCTGTAAGGTTTAAAGGTTCTAAGATTTTAGCAGTAATGCGACAGTGTTAAAAATCATACTTTGTATTATACATGCAATAAATTAAAGATAAATGTTATAATTTTTAGGATAATCACTAAAATTATAATACATAACAATTCAGAAAAATGTAATATTTATGTAATCTAAAAGCATGCAAAAAAAAAAGAAGAAAGAAAACAAACCAGATAAGCCAAACAGAAAACATATTATACATACAGACCCAACATATCAATAATTGTATTACAGTCTATGGAAAAAAAATACTTCAAGTAAAAGTCTAAGTTTGCCAAACTGGATTAAACAAAAAAGAATCATGGGACTGGGGTTGTGGCTCAGCGGTAGAACGCTTGCCTCGCAGACATGAGACCCTGGGTTTGATCCATCCTCAGCACCACATAAAAATAAATAAGTGAAATAAAGGTATTGTGTCCAACTACAACTAAAAAATGTTTTAAAAGAATCATATCTCTTAAAGAGATACACTTTAAATATGTGCCCAGAAAGATTCAAGTAGAGGATAGGGAAAAATACACCATACCACACTAACCAAAAGAAAACTGATGTACTCTGCTAATTTCAGTTAAAGATTTAGAATTTAAGACAAGAATCATTGCTAAAGATGAAAGAAATATTACATAATAATAAAGGGATCAATCCCACAGGAAAATGCCACAATCACAAATTTTTTATACCCCCATAATAACCTCAAAATACCTGAAGCTACAATTTGCAAGCTTTAAAGGAGAAACAGACAAAGCCACAATCACAGTTGGAGACCTTAACACACCTCTCAATAGTTAACAGAAAAAGCATTAAAATCTAAACAGTGCAATAACAAACTTGACCTAAATGACCAATACAGAAAATCATACCCAGCAACAACAAAAATTATGATCTTTTTCAAGAACGCATGAAACTTACCCAAACTGACCACATACTGGGCTACAAGGAATCTTCAACACACTTCAAAAAAAAAAAAAAAAGATGATGCCATTCAGAGTATACTCCTTAACCACAACAGAAATTAGAAATCATTAATAATAACAATAACAATAAATAAAAACCTGGAAAAACACCAACTACCTGGAAACATAAAATTACATTTCTAAATAATATTTGGATTGAAGAAATCAAAGCATAAATTACAAAATAGATTAAACTGAATACTACTGAATATACATTAAAACTTATGATGTAGTTATAGCCTGAATTGTATATATAGACAGTCCTTGATTTTCAAGCAGCAACACAGAATAGCAAGTGAACAAAACAGAAAACAAGCATACAATAGAAAAAAAAAAAATCAATGTAGTCAAAGTTGGTTCTTTGAAAAGATTAATAAAATTGATAAACCTTTAGCCAAACTGATTAAGGAAAAAGAGAACACAAATTACTACAGAATTTTTAGACATCAAAAAAAATATATATGAAATTTTATGCCAATAAATGTAACAGCATAAAATAGACCATTCCTCAAAAAATATAAATCACCAACACTGAAAGAAATAGACTGCTCAAATAGCCCCAAAGATATTAAAGAAATGGAATCTGCTATTAAAATTTTGCATAAAGAAAATCTCAGATGCAGATGGTTTCACCAGGGAATTCTTCAAAACAATTAAGAAGAAACATAACTCTGTTACTCCTTCTAGAGAACAGAAAATAACAGAACACTTCTTCACTTTTTTTAAGAACCAGTACAAAAATGATGCCAAAACTGACAGAGATATTATCAAGAAGAAAATCATGGACTGATCTAATAAACACAGATGTAAAAATATCAATGTACTGGTGAATAAAATTTAACATTATATATAAAAATAACATATATAGAAAGGAATTTATTCCAGACATTTAAGAGTAGTTTAGAAGAAAATTCATATGATTATCCAAATATGTATAAAAATAGCCTGTGACAAAATTCAATATTCATTCATGATAAAATCTATTGGAAAATTCACAAAGAATTTTGGATAAAAAGAAAAAAAGCCCTCAGGAAGCATCACAGTCAATGGTAAATGATTAAAAACTTACCCTTTTCAAGTGGAAAACAAGTCACAGATGATCATTATCATCATTTCTATTCAAAATTTTACTGGAGGGTTTAGCTAGTACAGTAAAGCAAGAGAAACAAAAAGAATAAGGACTGGAAAGGTAGAAACAACATTATTCATACATGATATGATTATGTCCTAAGAGAGTCCAAAAGATTCCTCAGATTATTAGAATTCATAAGTAAATGTATATTTCTGGCTAGAAGATTAATATTAAAAAGCCAATCATGCTTCTATAAACCAGCCATGGATTTTTAAAATATAAAGGACAAAAGAATTTTTTTAAAACTAGGAATAAATCTAACAAAATTAGATTTATTTATCTCTAACTAAAGTATAAAAAAGGGCTGGGAATGTGGCTCAGTGGTTAAGTGGCCCTGGATTCAATCCCCTGTACCAACAACAACAACAACAAAAAAGTTCCTAGACTGCAACATAAAGAAGGGAAATGCACATGAGTAAAGGAGGCAGAACCAAAAGTCCAAGTAGACTAAAGTGTTAGATAAAATAATGGAGAAACACAGAAAAAAAGAACACTGGAGATCTACAGAAGATCCCCTGATCAATACTTTTGAGTAAGGAAACTACCTGAAGATGGAGCAAGAAGCACCTAAAAGTGGATATAGCAATGTCACAGAATTCACATAGGGCCATAAATAGTGCCTCTTCTCACCAATCAGATTAAGGATTGGTATAAGTAAAGGGTCCTCCCTAATAAAGGGGGAATTAAAATTAGCCCTACCTGAGCACAGATTCAGTACTATCTAATAAATCTTAAAATCAAACCCTGAAAAAAATCAAATTGTTTTCAAACAACTGACAAAGAAAATAGACTTCAAAAATATTTTTAGGAATACAAAAATATCCAGAACACCATAAGATAAAATTCATAGTATCACATGCTTAATAACAAAATTACCAGGAATAGAAACAACCAGCCAAACAAGATCCATAATAAAGAAAAAAAAAATCAGCCAATCAAAATTGACACAGATGTTAGAATTCTCAAAAATATTTTAACAGTAATTATAACTATATTGTTCAAAACATGAGTCACAGAAGGTGTTAACAAAAATTTTTAAAAGACAACCTAATCTTTGAGGCAAGGATTGTGGCTCAGTACACGTGACGAACTGGGTTAAGTCCTCAGCATCACATAAAAATAAATAAATAAAGATATTGTACCCATCTAAAACTAAAAAAAAAAAAAAAAAATTTTAAAAAGACAACCTAATCCAAACTACATTATAAAAATAATAATTTGTGAAATTTAAAAATGAGAATAATATTGGACATTGAATAAAAAAATCAGTGAACTTGAAGACAAAGCAACAAAAAATAATCAAAATGAGTCAGAGAATTTAAATAACCTGTTATTTTTCAATAGTGCCCACCTTTGACATGAAGAAGGGCCCCAGTGCCAACTCTTAAAATCCCTGGTAATCCTGGCTTAGATTTATGAGAAAATGTGTCCCCCAAAACAAAAGAATCAATATCACATAGCTAAACCTATAGTTAAGGGCCCCAGTGCCAACTCTTAAAATCCCTGGTAATCCTGGCTTAGATTTATGAGAAAATGTGTCCCCCAAAACAAAAGAATCAATATCACATAGCTAAACCTATAGTTAGGGTAAGGAGAACTTTCTGACCCACTGGTTTTAACACTGAAATTTTTTCTCCTTCTCAGAGAAAATGGAAGGAATACAGATGTAGGTCCCACTAATGTGTATATATATATTTTTCCTTTTATCTACAATTAGTATTAGCAACCAATAACCCAAAGAAAATATTGCAGTGCTATCAATTAGTGATTACATTGCATAATGTCTAGCATAGCATTTCTAATTCTTTCCATTTTAACCACAAATAAGGAAGCACTGCATAGTTTGTTATCTAAAAAACTTCTAAGATGATAATGTAGTATTAGTATAAGACACCACTTTCTCAGTGGTGCACACCTGTAATTCTGGAGGCTCAGAAGGCTGAGGCAGGAGACTTCAAAGCCAGCCTCAGTAACTTAACAAGGCCCTGTCTCAAAATAAAAATATTAAAAAGGGTGGGGGGCTGGAGCTCAGTGGTTAAGCACCCCTGGGTTTATTTTGAAAAACAAAATAAAAACACCTTTTCTTAATTAATCAACTCAAAACACGAGACTGATAAAACTAGAAGAGAAGAGACTACCAAAACTTTAGCAAGTTATAATCTCTCTGCATTACTGTGATGATCTGTTTTTTCCCAATTAATTCCCAAGAAGATATGTTTTACTACACAAAACCAGTAAAATATGTATATATCAAAAATGTGGCTTTTCACTTTTAAAATTTTCTAACAAAAGTCTCAGAACTTAAAAAACAGAAGTATACCTCCATTCAACTTAGAATAAGGCCAAGAGAAAAGTAAATGCTATGAAATCCTGTGTTTGATTTAACAAATTTATGTTGGCTTTTCAAAACAAATCACTGAGCCAAATGAAATAACAGGACCCTATGGATACCAAAATATGGTTCCTTACCTAAGATGGCATCATATTTGCATACAACTTACATTCATTCTCTCATGTACTTTAAATAATTTTAGTTTCCTTAATACAGTGCAAATGCTATGTAAATAGTTGTTATACTCTATTTATTTAGATAATAATGGCAAGAACATCTATATATGTTCAGTACAGATGCATTTTTTTTTCTCTCTTAAGTATTTTGGATCTGTGGTTGGCTGAATCCATGGTTGCAGAATCCACAGATATGAAGAATTTATTATAGTGAAATAAGTTAAAAGTGTTCCTTAAACCTGGGAAATAAGGGGGTATGATAATGTCCCTGAAACTCTGTGAGATATATTTATAAAAGTGTATATTTTTCTAGATCCACAGTTTTTTAAAAAATATTTTTCTCAGATGTTGATGGACCTTTATTTCATTCATTTATTTATATGTGTTGCTGAGAATTGAAGCCAGTGCCTCACACATGGTAGGCAAGTACCCTACCACTGAGCCACAACCCCAGCCCTAGATCCACAGTTTTTATCAAATCTTGATGGAATGTAAACCCCCAAAAGATGAAGAAATACTTTTCCAGGCAAACCAAATGAGAAGTTGCTGAAGAACCCAAGAAATAAAAAGAACTATAATATGTAATTTGATCACAGGGGAATAAAAGTATTATAAGCCAGGCATGGTGGTGCACACCTGTAATTACAGTTACTCAGGAGGCTGAGGCAGGAAGATCACAAATTCCAGATCAACCTGGACAACTTAGTGAGATTCAGACTCAAAACAGATTAATTAAAAAAAAAAAAAAAAGAACTAGGGGATATAGCTAAGTGGTAGAATGCTTACCTAACATGCATGGGGGTCTGGATTCAATCCCCAGTATCATAAGAAATTTTTTTAAAGAAACATAATTTTTGCAGTTTAAATATATAATTTGCATCTTATGATCATAATCTTCTATCATATCTTATATATCATAATCTTATAGCTGTTTGTGAAAAGCTGTATTTCACTACTTGTCTTAATTTTTGAGGTCTAGAAACCACAAGTATTTCACCAAAAAATATATGCCCCCAAGCTACAAGGTACAGGTAAAATTACACTAATAGGGAAATCCTGTTCATTACATAAGCAACATGATTGACTGCAAATTAGATCATTGACATAAATCAGTCAGCAAATGAAATAACTGACCATATTTTCATGGAAGTTACAAAATCATATTAAACATACTAATTTTTTTTAATTAAGCATCTATTCTACCTTATCACAATGCAGATTATTTAACAGTGCTTTTCATTGCTATACTGAAATTAGAATAGAGTCACAAGTTTCTTAGTGGAACATAAACTATGAAAGGGTTATGATAAATCTTTTGCAAAAAAATCACAATACCATGATGATTATACAT